AGTTAGGACTGATATATAGCTAATAAACAGTTCAGACGCTTCCGACGAAGGATGGAAACCTACATTTTCAACACCATGAACTGCGTTGCTTTGCTCTTACTAAAATAGACCTTGTTTCCTTATAAAGATTTTATAATGAAGATGGCTATTCATTAACTAAACTGCAGATACATAGAGATAGCACTAGTAACATGATTTATGTGAAGAGTGCGTTACAAAAACTGGAGTGGCTAAATAAACAAAATGACTGGGAAGAAAGCGAAGCGAATCTGCCTGCAGCGAAGAGCAAGTCGTGAGAGGAGGGGGGAGGGGGAAGGAGGCAGGGGGAGAATCCTGAGAGGCGCTGCGGCGGGCCTTGGGCCAATCGTGGAGCGGCGAGCACATAAGCGATTACTCCGTGTGCGTCTTAGGTGATAGTTCCCTGAATGGAATGCTTTTGTTTTATATTTACGGGGGTGGCGATGTTCTTCCCCTGTGAATGTGAGATCCGGCGCCGACCTACACAGCGGCATGGGAGGTTTTCCCTCTCCGGGTATCCGTCCCCGCTGGCACAAGCTCTGAGCTTGCTTCACGCTTTGCTTCACGACATGCGAGGTAATGGAGTGCATGTAAGTGTATGTGCGAGGAGCAGGAAGAGGAAGGAAAGATCGCGTTTGGTCCGTGGCCCGTTTATTGGGCTACTGCTCCGACATTTACCGGATATTGATGGGAGAAACCATAGAAAAGTACTGATCAGAGCAGCCGGACGATGGGTGTGTAGCTAGTATCTCCAGAGAATTCGGCCCAACGACGAGCGTGTAGCTAGTGTCGAACCCCCGCCTTCGGGACTGGAAGTCGAGGAGCGTCATCGATGCTGCAGAGGCATCGCTATTGCGCCTGAGCAGGTTCGGCGGGGCGGCGCGTGCGTTGGGTCCCGGGGCGGGGGCGCGGGGCCGCAGACGTCAGATCGCCCGAGGATACCACGCCCCCAGCTCGTTACCTCCGCCGCCGCCGCGCGGCTCGTCATTACAGCAAGTGCTCGTTCCTAAACACCGATCGCCGATACGCTTGAAGCGGCTGACTGGTATATGGACGCGCGGCCCGATGTTTATGGGCGGCACCGCCGTGGAAGCGCCCGCGCGTCGCGATTAATTCCGCGGCCGGCGCTGCGCCGGCCCTCTGGGGCCCCGCCCGGGCGCCTCGGCGCGGCCCCCGCCCAGCCGTAGCCACTGGCACAGACACAAGCCAGTGCTCAGGCATTCGCACAGGCCAGGCACAAGCACAGGTTCAGGCGACCGCCCAAGCCCAGGCACAGGAACAAACACATGCACATCCTCAGGCACAGGAACAGAAACAGGCACATGCCCAGACACAGGCACAATCCCATGCACAAGCACTAGCACAGATCAGGCACAAGCATAGGTTCAGGCACAAGCACAGGTTCAGGCCAAGGCCCAAGCCCAGGCTCAGGAACAGACACGTGCACATGTACGAACACAGGAACAGAAACAGACACATTCATACGCAGAGACACAGACACAGGCACAAGAACAGACGCAGGCACAAGCCCTGGCACAGGAGCAGATCATTCCACATGCACAGAAACAGACCCAGGAACAGACACATGCACAGACTCAGGTACATGCACAGTCCCGCGCACAGTGGGCCGCAAGGTCAGCGAAAACGCACCCCCCCGGGCTGCTTGACACTTGCATTACTCTGAAATTCAGGCTTTAGTGAATAAATGTAACACTTGTGGAGATAAAAAGTTTAATGGTCATATATTATGTGTACAACAGCAGACGTGTGCCGATTTTACGTCTCTATTTTTAGCGTTCATTTTCGCGGGGTGAAAAACTGGATAATTTTGCTTTGACACAAAAAATTGTGACATATAAGAAGTTCAAATAATAGTTTTGCAGAGTTAACTTTTATATAATTCCATGATAATATTTTACGTATTAAGGAAATCGTATGGTATTGCATATCGTAGTTTACACAGACAATGAATTTATCATCGTATAGTCGATAGTAGTAACTCTCAAGTATCTATCACCTCTCTAACGAAAGGTTATTGTACACTGTGAGGTAATTTCAATTTTCCCTTTGTAAGAATTTTATACAAGTATAAAGATTCTGTTCGTTAACTTTCTCCTTTAAAAAAAGGTGTTTTGTTTTATGTAAATTCTTGTTATTACGAATGCCTATTTACAGAAATCACATATACCGTACATTACACAAAATGTGAATTGTTTTGTTTAATAATAAATATCTGGAGAGCGTTGCAGGTTCTTCGTATTACCATAAGCGCTTATTAATGGAGAAAATAAATAGTACACTTTTTAAGAATATATTATCTGACGTATTCTCTAACGACCTATAATTGTGTTCTGTATTTGTGTCATGTTAATGTCTAGTAAAAAGTAATTAGCTTCCAGAAGATATCATTCCACTTGACATCAGATTCCAAGGCCTCACTGAGTCAATATATTTCTCTCTAGCTTCTAATTTATGTCTGGTAAGTACTCAACTGTGCTGGAGTTTCTTCCCGCAAGAGACCGCTAATTGCTGGAACTATTCCCAATTTTCGCAGAGTCATATAAGAAACAACCGTCTATCAGCTACCTTCTATGAATAATTTAATGTCTATGACCTTTCCTAGATTAAAATACGTCCAACGAGTGCTTATCCTTAAGATCGCTTTGTTGATTCTGCATTCATTTCCGTAGAGAAGAGTGAAGTGTGCTATTTAATCGTGTTGCAGCCGGAGGGGCGTCTCCGAAGCTCTCAGCAGTGCTGCGGCCGGCCAGTCCGTGGGGCCGCCCCCGCCGACCCGCGCGCCCCAGCCGCGCGCCGACGCCCCTGGCCCTGGTGCCGCCCGCCGCAGCCGCACGCCGCCGGCCGCCGCCCGCCCTCGATCCGACGCGCCACCGACCGGACAAGCGCGCGCTGGGCGGGCGAGCGCTGGCGCCCTAAGGGCGTGCTGCTTCAGCGATTGCCGCCGGCCGCAAGCCGCTGGCGCTGGCGCGTGCCGCTAAGCCCTGGCGGCCGTCGACGCCGTCAAGCTGGAAGGCGGACCCGGCGGCGACTCCAACAAACAACGCGGGGGCGGCGCCCGCGATGCCGCGGGCGGCGGCCGGCGGGCGCGACGGAGGCGACGGCGAATGCGAGATCTGCGGCAAGACTTCTCCCGCGGCCGCCAGCTGCTGCTGCAACGCACGGCGCGTGCACAACGGGCGAGGCGGGCCTTCGCGTGCGCCCACTGCCCCCCAAGCAGATTCATCGCGCGCGGCCACTGGGCGGACGCCCCGCGCCTGCACGAGCCCCAGCGCGCGCCGCAGCACGCGTGCGCCGCCTGCGGCAAGGCCTTCGGCACACGCGCCTCGCTCAAGGTGCGCGCAGCGCTCGCCACGGGCATCCGTTGCACTCAGCATGAGCGACTAACAATACACACAGTAACAATATTGGCAGATACGTCCACCGCACGTCCACCATTTAGACGGTCACAACATGCAATTTGTATACTCTGCATGAACGACTAACAATACACACAATGACAATAATGGCAGATACTTGCACCGCGGTCCACCATTTAGGGCAGGAACCTCCTAGATAGAATGAGGTTTAATACATTTTAATCATTTAGTTATTGCATTATTAGATAGATTGAGCACTATGATACGTATGACAGAATTCACAGAGAATGTGGCATTTCGTTGGAGGTATTCGATTTTATCCCTTCGCTGGTTTACCTGTTATATCAAGACGAATGTCTTTGTCGACTATTCCTCTCGTGAAATTAAAACTTAAGTGTTTAACTGTACTGCTTGCTTTAACATGTTCTCCTTGGTGATTTATTGTTTTCAATTTCATTATCGTCGTATCCATCAATACCTCTTATACCATCTTAATTCTCTTCTTAATGAGCTTTTTGTCATATCCGATGATCAATTTACAATGACTCGTTTAGTGGACTTAAGTCATATGTTTACATTCAGTTATTTCAGCATTTTTTTATGAGAAATGCAACGATTAAGGAAACTAAAGCAGTTTTTAAAATTATTTAACATTAAGACCAATCTTAAACTAGACATATATCTCTTCACAAATTGTGATTGAAAATCTTCGCTACAAAAACTGAAGAAAAGAGTCTCGCATAGGGTTACACTGAAATGAAAAGTGCGTCGCTTTTTTAGGAAAAGTGACACCCTGAAGACGAATACAAAGGTGCAAGTATACTCACGAGAAATTTTTTTCCAAATAGTGGTTTTCACAAATCTGGGGATGTATGCGATTGATTAACTATTTAAATATTTCATATTCTGAGAAAATCTTCCAAAAATAAACATTCTAAGAAGTGTGAAATACACTATGTAGTTGGATTTTCATATTTTTTTACTTCAAAATTACATTTCGACCTTTAAATACTCTAAGCTAAGAAAAACCTCTCAACTTTTTTTTTCTCTTCAGCAATGTACTCGTAATTCACATGTTTGGAAGTCGGAGTGTAATATTTGAACTTTGTTCTAAGTACCTACGACTTAAATAGCGTTCAGATCAAGAATAGTATATTTTTCAATCCTCATTTACCTCTTTACATTTTAATTTCTTTTCTTTTTTCAAAATTTGCCACTAAGTACCCAATAAACGAACAGGAATGTATTGAACAGCATTTACTTGAACTTAATTTTCAGTAGTAAGTTATAAACTCATACATACGTAATGTAAATATTGTAATCACTCCCGTTCACCAAACTTCCGTTAGTTCGTGAAATGTAAATGTACGTTGTAGAATATAACTGTTTTTCTGTTTCGTAAATCTGACAAGTGTTTTATGTTACATCTAACATCAGTGCATGACACTGATGTATAGTAAAACCTGTTTGGATCTTGTTTCAAGATTCTATTTCTCTTCTTAGATGTTGAAAGTAAAATCTTCAAGATTCTATATTTGTATTGATCAGACCGCTCCTGTTTTTTCTACTTTTATGTATGCTGCACGTGATGAGTGTTTCTGATCGATGTTACGATTTCTCACAGCGTTCTTAAACGTTAGTCACATTCTTCAAGTATGTTTGTAATCTTTTATATCCGATCTTGTGTGCTCAAGAATATAACGTAGTTCCGTTATTCAAAGGAATTCATTGCAACAAATTTGGTTCTTGTTTAGTTTAGCTTACATTTGATATCGTATGATGATCTTCTAACAAAGAAATCTAATCACTTTTCTTTCCAGCAAAAATAGGATATAATATACCATTTCATTTCTTCATTGTATTAACGATAATTTCATGTTGTTCATAATTATGAAAACACTATCTGCAACACGTTAATTTCGTGTTAAATTATACTTTTCCTTATCATTCTTTCTTAAATATATATAAAAAGCAAATAACTATGTTTATCTATTCAAATACATCCATAACATTAATAAAAAATAAGTTAAAAATTCAAATTAGTTAATTTCAGGATTAAAACAAGGGTTGTACTTGGGCAATAAAGCATGAGAGATAACCTTTCCACAAATAACATTTTATAATGGTCAATTTACCTCGTCCTCTGGCCACTCAACAATGAGGAAAAACCCTCGAAACACATACCATGCTTGGTTTATTAAACGTTTTTGTAGAAATATTATCTCTCGAGTTTTTATTCCAGCATGAAATTCCATAAGATCACGATTACCTGAAGAGTAAACCATTATGTTTAGTGTTTAGTAAACGATCCTTATACTATTAAACTTAAATCGCTTCTGCCGCTTTCGTGAGACAAGATACCATCACCATATTCTCACAAATTATAACTTTTTTCGGTGTAAATTGTTTCTTTTTCGTGTATATTCTGAAATGATAAATTGGTTCTGGCACTTAATTTCTGATTGCCTTTCATTCTGAGAATTTCTTTTCGCGAGAGAAAAATTGCGCCTTGTCGATAAAGCTTTCAGCACTAGCAGTTCCACTAGAGCAGCAGAAGCGTCTGGGGTGATCCGAAGTCCGACGTCACTTTCCAAGGCAGCTGGTTCGCTGTCCGGTCTGGAATCCGAACGGGGAGAAGGGAACAAAAACATTCCTGTTTTTCGGACATGGTTCTTTCGTTCTAACGACATCCCTTAACAAGTTAAAACTTCAAGTAGGTCAGGCCGGCCTCGAAATTCTCTTTGGGAACTGGAAACAGGTCGAATATTCCGCGTACAATAGAATTTATCTGCATTTTCAATGTGTAAGTCTTTCATCTTCGAACTTCTCGTGTTGCAAAACAATTTTTTGGAACACAAAATACACTGTTATGCATGGTGATGTATGCTAATGTAGATATGTTATGTTTTTATACTCGCGCCAAACATGTGCGGTGGGTTTATTCTGCATTCGGTGTTTGAAATGAGTTTTTTAAGACGTTTATGATTAAATCATTTGTAGCGGTTTCAGGTAAAATTTGATGAAGTTTAGTAAGAAAAAAATGAAATGGAAAAAATTCACGTGTTAAGACTCTTTTTATCTTTGTAAAAATCGAATAAATTCGATAACGTTAAGGAAACTTGTTAATGCTTTGCTCCCGCCTTATGGAACAGTAACACGTACGATAACTTTCCGCACCTGCCTGTAATTCATTTTATTCGAAAAGTTGTTGTCAAAAGAGCTTTAACTTCGATCATAAACCATTTGAATCCTGTTGTTAAATACCTACGTTTTCGAGACCCTTCATGTAATGTTACATATTTTCATGCAGTGTTGCTCTATGTATAATTAATGGTACGAATGAATAATCAAAGGGCAATACTTGTTTCCTTTTAAATGGCGACTAAGAGTTACGGAACGGATTCACGTTGATAGGGACAGCAGAAATCTTAAGTATTGCAATGCGAATAACGAACGTACTCTTAATAGTATGATAGCATTATTCTTTCCAAGTAAAAGGTAAAAGATAATTAATGTCTTCTATGAGACGGCCATTTGAATGACGTGTGTTCACCCCTGCACCTGCTAAGCATTGGGAGAAGTGACGCCTTAATACATTTATTAATATCATCACACGTCGAGCGACAGACCTGATATTCTGGTTGATGGCACTTGTACTGTACGTTTTATAACCACAATGACATGCTAATTGGGGGAAATTTTAATTGACTCGTTTGGATACTGGAAATTGATAGCAATCTCTACATATGCACTTTCTATGATATTCCTCTTTGAGCTAACGACCGATCAACTCTTCTCAATATGCTGCTTGCACACGTCTCTGCCATATCTGCTTCTCGAGAGAAATACGCATTCATTCTTCTCCGCTTCTGTAGAATCCTGAAGAAATCTACGGGGAATTTACATATTACTCGAGACAAAACTTTGTAAATTGAATAATAGCGTAAATCAATTTTAAATGTCATGGCATCTTATGTTCTGAAAACATTGGCTATAAGGAAAACTATCCTGCCTTGTTTCAAAACATTGACTGATTAAATAATGATAGTAATGACGTTGACGATGATTGAATGGAGGCGGACCCTGCCACTTGTTAGAAGACGCTTGCTACTACCTTCTAGATACTTTATCTACTAAAAATGTTGATGAAAAATGACCCTTAATACACCATGAGGGATTGACGATTAAAGAATTCATCTCTAGTCGTGCGCCGTTTACACACACGAATTTCATTGTAATTTGTCTTACAAAATGAGTGAATGATCGACAGCTTATTTAAGCGTCGTTAGCGTGATGCCATCGTATGACCTGGTCAATAAGAATGATATGTGAGACTGAAATTTAGAAAAAATTCCAGAATGTAATCTGATGTAATTTGGGTGCACCGTATCTATCGAAGGAACGTCTCGATGAAAGATACTATTACTTTTTGCTGCATTTAATTATCCTTGAAGGATATAATAACTCTTCATCGTGTTATCTTTACTAATAATCTGTAGGGCTTGTGAATCTCAGAAGTTCAATTTCTTGCCATTGTGAAACAAAAGATTTATTATTCCCCTCCTATGTAAATGTCAGACGTTGTACTAATTACACCAACCCAAACTACGATTTCCCATTCCAAGAAATGATAAACAATGTTTACAAGTTAAATACAATGTAGCCCCTACAAATCAAGAGTTGCAGATGGATCGGTATTAAATTCCAATGAGGATTTAATGGTTCGGCTTCTGTAAGTTCTGGTTCGCATCCAATCCTGATAACATTTTTGTATCATCCAAGTTCCTGACGGGATGCAAATAACTGTTCCAAATATGCAATTTACATTTCTATCCCTGAATTATAGTTCCGTTTGATGATAGCCCAAGAAATTTTCTATATGGGGAGTAAATGGTTATTGCAGTTTTTGCGACTTCGTGACGTCAAAGCGTATTAACAAACGTCCGACAAATATAATAATAAGATTGAGGTTGTATGAAGGATTTGTAGGTTGAGTAATCGTGATGTGTGTGATCAGATTGCTACCGTCACGAAGGCAACCTACAATACTTTTAAAATATGATCGCTAAATACTCTGTATATTCATTCATCTACTTATGAAAGAATGCCGTACCGAACGACTTCTCTCCGATGATGAAATCAATTCGCTTACGTTTATTATTATCATCAAGGAAATATGACTTTCTGTCTCGCAATATCTCTTGTAAAATTTGTATAAGTTCGTTCTTTGCAAATCTATCATAGATGTTGCCATTGACATGTTGGCGGACACTTTTCGTTACACTATACTTACGACTCATTCAAAAACAAGCCTTCAGAGAGGAAACGATACTATTTTAGTAATCAAAACGCGTGGTTTAGGTTTTTCACAATCATTATTCGGTGTATATAACACATTTTAATGAGTGTCTAAAGTCAAGTAATGAAGATATTCTTATTTTACGAGCTTTTCATGAAATGAAAAATTAATTTTAGCATCTTTATTATTAATTGTTAATGCGCCCATAAATTGAAAGAAATATATGCAGCGTCTCGTGAGAGGGGCCTCTAGTTTCGTTAGATAACCAGAAACTTGGGGAAAAATAAGTGAACAATAATGAATTTGAATACAAAATTCAGAAATTGATTGTGTAATTCTGCCTATTCTCCTACTGCGCTTACTGAGTTCTCACACTCAGAGCGTAACTGATTACGCCACAGCTGACGTCATGAGGTAGCAAGACTTAGGAATTTAAGCAACCTTTCTGATGCTAATGGTATGCAAATAACTGTTGAACTGTGTAAATATACTGTACTATGTTATTCCAGTATTCATAAAGACTGTTTTGTTAATAATATTTAACTTGTTGCAATTTTTAATTGTTGCTCTTGAACAGTATCCACGCTTTTTGTGGAAAACTTTTTTGTGGTTTTGTTTGGCAGCATTTTTGCTTCAGCAGGCCACGCGTTTCAAACTATTAAAAGAAATATCTGACGATTCCCTTCTTTCTTCTTCTTTCTATTCCAAACACTTAGTAGTGCATAGGCGAGTCTCCAGAAGCCCCTAACGCCTTCTTGTGAGACTTATCCTGAGCAAGTATACCCAGGGTAGTTTGCCATTACTTTCTCTAGAGGCGCTAAAGCACCAATTTTGACGTTTGATTTGAATACCAGATAGCGGATGTCAAGATACAATATCCACAATCTTATTCAGTAATTCAAATCGAAACTCTGATTGCTAGAGAATTTAATTGTGCTAGGAACGGTCCAGTGCATTTCCTGGGATCGGTTTCACATGCCAATAAGCACCGCATGCGCATGATAACCACTAGACTATTCCCTAGACTCCACATTTTATCTTTCCAAAGCCAAAAAATATAAAGTTAATGGTTGTAATTCTTGGTAGTAACATGAGTGATGGAAAGCATTTGAATCAATCTTTCATATGAATATAGTTTAACGAAAATGTACTGAAAGAACTCTATATTAATGTCCAAATTTCAATTTTATTAACAGACTTTATAAAAAATGGTTATAAATAATAATCTACTTACCTATAAATGTGCATCGAACTCTAGTGTTATGGCTGTAATATATTGGAAACATTTGTTTTGACCAATAATGCTATTTTAATATAAAGAAAATTTGTGTTATTGATGAACACTATTCAGTAATACTGTTGTTGTACTGTTGTTGTACGTTTGTTTACAGTATACACAATACAATTATGGTGTATAATAAAGTTAAGAAATAAGTTTAATAGAACATCTTATATGTCTTCTGATAAAAATGCTAAAAAAAAGCTTACTTGTTATTTGCTTTTCATATTTTATGCATGTTTAGTATGAATATCGCTATATTATGAAGAGTACTTCTCTATTTGACAAAGTAGAATATCTTATTATCACTCATTGCCAATACAGTTGACTCCACGCCTGACAACAACATAAATTTAAGTCTGTGCTTCAAGTTCGGACGTGTGTTTGTGTTGGCGCAGGTCCACGCGCGCACCCACACGGGCGAGAAGCCCTTCCAGTGCGCCGAGTGCGGCAAGCAGTTCTCGCAGCTGCGCAACTACAAGTACCACCGCTCGGTGCACGAGGGCACCAAGGAGTTCGCGGCCACGTGCCCGGAGTGCGGCAAGTACTTCAACGACCGGGGCTACCTCAGCTCGCACATGAAGATCCACCGCAACCGAAAGGAGTACGGCTGCCAGTACTGCGGCAAGAGCTTCAACCAGCGCGTGGCGTACAACATGCACGTGCGCATCCACACGGGCGAGCGGCCGCACGCGTGCCCGCACTGCCCCAAGAGCTTCTCGCGCAAGATGCTGCTGAAGCAGCACCTGCGCGTGCACACGGGCGAGAAGCCCTTCTCGTGCGAGGTGTGCGGCAAGGCGTTCGCCGACCGCAGCAACATGACGCTGCACCTGCGCCTGCACTCGGGCGTCAAGCCCTACGCGTGCACCGTCTGCTCCAAGGCCTTCACCAAGAAGCACCACCTCAAGACGCACATGAACTACCACACGGGCGTCAAGCCCTACTCGTGCGCCAAGTGCGGCCTGCGCTTCAGCCAGTCCAGCAACATGCGCACGCACTTCAAGAAGTGCGCGGGGGGCGGCCCGGCGGCGCCCAGCCCGGCGCAAGGGGCCCGAGGGCGCCGGGGCCCCGCTGCCGCTGGCCCCCGGCCCCCGCCCCCGTGCCCACCACCACGGCCATCGCTGCCGCCGTCGTCATCGCGCCCCCGCAGCCCGCCCCGCCCGCGCCGCCCGGCTCCGCGCTGCTGGCCGGCGTGGACCAGTAGCCCTCGCCCCTCTCATTGTTGACTGTTGACGTATGCAATAAATGTTATTATTATATTGTCCAGTTGATTTTTCTTTTCTTCACCACCTCAAATGTCCGTCCTCAAACGATCTTCCCAAGATGGCTTCTTTATGTCTATAGTTAGGAGCAAAAGTGACGACGGACACACTGCCTTATGGCTAGTCATTACTTTTCCGTATACGTACGTATATACTTAGTACAAGAGAATTTTGTAGTGCTACGGAAAATAGATTTCGACATTTTAACAGAAATGCACATTTTGGGGTCCCCCATATTAACAATTATTTGTGTCTTTAACGTTGTTCAGACATTCGTCCGTCTATTCATTCGTCTGTATACGACACTAGCACCTGAACTATTCGTAGTATTTAAAGAAAAAAATTCCTGCTCGATTTCCCCTCCCAAAACACTACCGATTTGAAACGAATTCTTTGATTTTTGGAGACTCTCCACATAAAGCTATTGGGGCATTTTCAAAATTTTCTCAAAAATGGTTCCAAACTTTGTCTTTAAATTTCTTGTTAGAATTTAGGGAAATCACTTATAAAAGGGTCATGTGTCCAATTTACACTGTTCAATCTGAATGTGTTTAATAGTTGCAAATTTTTATTTTTTCAGAAAAATGAAAGTTTTAAAAATTTTCAACAATTTCATTATTGAAGATAAATTTTAATTGTTCAAACAAAATTAGTTCTCCACAATTGATTCCGCAGTTAAAATCATGATCGTATTTATTAGTTTTTGCGCGATTGTGAGTGAAATAAGGGCAACATTAAATTTAAGATTTTTCTCTACTTCAGTTTCAAATTATTTCTTCAAATCTTTTGCATGTTTCCTTTCATTTTTTTAAATGTCTCCCCCGTCATTAATATTTACATGCGTTTTTATAATGTATTGCATGTGTTGCATACGATTTCATCAAGTTTGCTGTGAAAATGAGCTAAAAGTTGGGTATTTTCAGAAAGCTCCAACATTTTCAGATTGATTGGTGATCCTGGGCACGCCGACGGCTTTGGTAATTAGTCCCATAAGTATAGTGCATTTATACTCGTGCCGTGGCTGTAACCCCCCCCCCCCGCTGGATACTGAGCGCCGCATACTGTTGGCTAGCAGCGTTTTTCTCAAACAGGTATCTCCCTACCAGCGGGGCACCATCCTCGCGCTGTAGGCTCCTAAACTGGCCTCGGTAGTGTGGAGCGTGTACGTGTGGGCATACGTAAGCAAACACACGTAAGAAATCAAGGACAAGTAAGAGGAAGGAAAGTTCGCGCGCGGTCCGTGGCCCGTTTGGTAGGGCACTGCCCCGGTATCCGCCTGGCTTTGATCGGAGAAACCACGGTAAACTACTGATCAGAGCAGCCGGTCGCTAGAAAGCTTCTCTAGACAGTAACTGAATTCGACCTAGCTGCGTGTCGAAAATCTTGCCACCGTCGCTTCTCCAAAATCGCTCCCTGTCAGATCACACTGCAGTGACATCAGTTCCTGCCCCTTAACTCTTCTATGATATTGATAGAGGCATATTTTATTTCTATTAGGGAACCGAAAAATTAAGAAAACAATATATTTTGTTTATCAATATAAATATTTTATAAATGAAACCAACCATTCTTTTAATTAATACATGATGCAAATATTTGCTGCGGTTTTTTCTTTGTGTGAGAAATCTGTTCATTACTAAGCGCAATGTTGATAGATTTTTATTACGTTTGCATTGTTATGAAAATGAATGGTGTCAGTCATTCAGATAAAGATTCTATTATGATTCGTGAGGAAGGGGCTAGAGGCAGATGAGCTCAAGGAAGTGAACAGTAAAGCTGTATGAAACACGGAGAGCATTCCGAGTCCCTCTTGTATTACACTAAACCATACAATTCTTATAAACTCTAAAAGCCTGATGGGCATCTTTGGGTGAAATGTGTGTGTAATTGAGGAACTGGATTCTTACACCCAACACAATGCACCGAGATGGAGAAAAGGTTAAATCATGGGCAAATTTGTAAAGGTAGAGGGCCGAGATAGGCTGTGCGCTCTGAAGGTGCTCTTCACTGACATCACCAGAGAAGCAGTAGAATATGCAAGCAGCCCAGGTTTGTCTTTAAACCCCAGGTACTGGGAAGAGGCTGTGGCAAAAGCCAGAAGTTGGCCCAGGCTCAAGCAAATAGGAAACCAGTATTAGAAAACCTGTGCTATACTGCTCCACCACTAGTTTTACTTTTATCTTTTCTCACGCGTAATAAATTTCTGCTCTGTTTCATCAAGTGTTATAACATATAAATTCCGATTTCCATCGTAATGCGTAGTTGGTCAGTATATATTTATCTACAGTGTGTGACGTAGAAGAGCTTTTCACATACCTGTCCTCCGTCTTCATATGCATGCCCCTGAAACGGCAAAGAGGATCCCCATATTAGTCGTCTTGGACGGCGGCCAAACGATGTGTTCGTAAATGTTCCGCGGAAATGGCGTTCATACTTTTCGGTCTCACCCAAGCTTACAAGGGGACTCTATGAAAGTTGTTTATTCACAGAAACCAGTTGCCTCTTGTACGCCAACCGTTACATGTTCTTTGTGTCGTCAAGTGTAGCCTGATGCCAACTTTTCTTCCCGTATAGACCGTCCGTTTTGCCGAAAGACCTCCCCAGAGTGGTTTGCGGGCGAAACCTCAGAAATATGTAATATAACTGAGAATGTAGTACGCATTTAGAGGGGCATTATAGTGAAATTTGCCTTCCTGGCAATCGGTTAGTTCCCGTAAAAAACCAAACCAAGGATGTTACCGACACAACTGCGTATATATGAATGATAATTACGAACAACTGGGCGCGCAGCCAGTCGACCGTTCTGTTGCAAAACCGATTCCTGAGTGGCAATTATGTGCCTAGTCACATTTTCTCTGCTTCGCTTTTATCCGCAAGAGTTACATTAAATGCAACAGTGAATTTGGGAATCTCATTACGCAAGTCTTTTTACAACTGTGTTAAGAACACATATTTTAATTTTAACATTAATTATCAATATTTAAACTATGTGTGATATATCGGAATCAGACTATGGCTTTAGTGCCAAATTCTGAACTGATTTATCTGATATCCCTGCGAATTCGATTTGAAATTTTAATTTAAAGATCTTAAGAAAAATAAAAATAGCATGTTAATATGATAACGAAGTTCATTGTCTTTAATACAAATTTGAAACCATATTCCAGTATAAAGTATTCAAGAATAGACAATCATACCGCAGAATTTTACAAATACTATGAAACGATTTAAATATTTAAATTTTATTTCATCAAAATTTATGAGCGGTTTCTTTATTAAAATGTTTTTCCTTATACTCATATGGTTGAAGACCAGTGGATCCTAGTTTCAATTGTCCCCACGTCAGATCTCGCCAAGTGTGTTAATTCGCGCGAATTTAGCTAATTGTTATACACACTACTTTGTAAATAAATAATGTAAGTTCTTCAGTGACATTTATCTCTACATAAATTAAAGAAAACTGCTACCTGAAATTAAAAAATAAACCTAAAAATAGAACTACCGAAGCCGGCCCGTCGGTTGCGACATCCGCGCTGGGGAGACTGCAGGTTCGAATCCTGAGTAGGCATGTACTTATTTATTATTGTTCTTTCACCCCTCATTATCATCCTAACATCCCTTCATAATTCAAGGCTAACAACCATGTCTATAACAACGGATACAACCGAGAAGGCTGTTCCGCATAGCGAATAAAGATATGTTAATCTCGTCAGAATAAATATGACTATGCCTCGGAGAATAACATGTAGCGTGGTCCGAGTTGGTCGATATTTTCATAAAAAAACTACCGAAAGGTCGTAATGATCAACTGTAAAACAAACACACATTCTCAACTAAAACTAATGATGTTGATATGTCCTCTGCGTCTGACTTCAAAATTAAAATACACATGTATTAAAATTCAGCAGAAACTCACTAACAATAACACTTCTAATTGCATTCTATCCACAGACGTGTTCAGAGAAACCGTGAGAAGGTGCGTAGTAATAGACGTCTAGACGGACGGAGAAGGCGTGGCTGGAGGCTTATTGCCGCAGTTCAAATGTCACCTACGACTGAAGATCTTAGACAAATTACAATCATTACCAAAGGCCAAGTGATCATAATCGTGTAAGGGAGAAAGAAGGTGGGGGAGTGAATGGGAAGGGAGAATTCTAATTGGAAATCCAACGTGCTACGTTCTCACGATGTGCCTATTGAGACCGCCAAGGAGTTGAATCGTATGCGCTAAATTGAAGGTCGCCCGTGCAATTCGCACAGCGCACGTGCATCGTGGTCTTCTCATGCCCTCCTTTCCAGTGAAAACAACTCCTGCATGGGAATTTCTATTGCTTTCATTATTCTAAACGAAATAACATGAAGAAATACTGGTTGTATAAAAGTATATTTTAAGAAATAGGCTTCACGGTAAAGTGAAAATGATTAATTTTTAGTTTTATTTTATAGACTGTATTCTAATTTCTTGTAATGTCTTCACACGCAACTGCTTAATTCAATGCTCTCTCCGCTGCGATTTCTTTTTCTGACAAGATAGTGAATTTAGTAGCATTTAGCAGTAGTAGAATTTAACAGTAGCATTTAGAAGCTTCAAAAGCTTCAATCTAATAGCATGCCAGTGCAATCTCTATCACAAACTTGCTACCAAATGCTAGCAAAAAGAGCAGGAACATACGACTCCGCTAGATGTCGTTCTTTGAATTGAACTTCTTTTTACGTTCTCGCACTTAGTTCGTAAGAAGGTAAAGTATTCTAATCGTGCACCGGAAAACGATGAACCCTTCACACCGAAAAATCGATTGACGCAACACATTTGTCTCCGTCCGTTCGTCCGCCCGTCTGTCCCTCTGTGATCAACGCTAACGCCTAAACCGTTTATCTGATTTTCTTCAATATTGATATTCCCCGATCGATTTCAATAAACTCGAGATTTTCGCAGTTTCTACTTAATGGGTAGAAATGTCTAC